TCCCTTTCATTCATCCTTCTCTCAGTCTAATTTATAAGGGAAGTTGCAGCCTCTGTGGAGCATTTTAGAAAGGATTTCAATGTCAGAATTTAAAGGGAAAATTAGTTGGTAATCAGGACATTCTACTGGTTGTGGCAGGGATCTTACACCACTTTGAAAATTAAACTATAATAGGTATCAAACAGAACCAAGAAGCTTCCTTTATACATTCAGAGTCAACTGATCAGATAACTCGATATAAATTAATTCAGAAACCACAAGAAGTTTTATCACACTTGAAGCTTCAAACAGAATGCCTAGTGTTCAATTCTCTCATTAGAGGTGGAGTCACCCTCCACACCTACAATTAAGGTTGCCTAACACTTTCCATTACAGACTCCTGGTTTTGGTTGCTTTGAGATTTATCAAACTTTAATCATTCCGTCTGACAGTTTCACACTGCTGTCTGCCCAAGGTAATTTTTTTTATTTGTAAGTTTCAGAAAATAGGGTTTGTCTATTTCCGAAAACACTGCTAATAGAAAAATAGTTGTGCTGTTAAATATTTCCAGCTGTTTCTTGGAAGAGCTTCAGCACTTCCATGCTTTAGAGCAGAAACTTGAAATTTGGAAGGGAAATACCTCAGGGAGGTGTGTTTTGCTGTTCCCATTAAAATCCACCCACAGTTAGCTCAGCTATAAACCTCTGAAAACCACCATTTTCATATGTGTAGTAGAGCTTATTAGCAGCTTACTGCTCAAACCTTTGAACAAATTTTAATCTACTGAGCATGCTCACAGGCACAGAGGTAAAAGGCTAACACTCTTATTATTTATAAATTTGTAATTAATTTTTCCAAATACAACAAATATACCAAAATATCAGAGTCATCATACTACACAAAAGAAATAAAGAGGGTTAGGCTAACAGAAGGGGAAGGGAAGCGACATCTCTCTCTTCAGGGTCTATGTTAATTACAGACCTCTAAAACGTCAGCCCAAATTGCTTTGAATTCCCTTTCTGCAGAATGCCAGTCATTTGTTAGCTGTGAGGTCAGCCACATCACTGAGCTAGGCATCAATATTTGGTGGGGACAGACTTTTCCATTTTTGCAGGATTAATTTTGTAGGGACCAAAACTGCACATTAGAACCATGCCGCCTTGTTACTAGCTAATCTCCAGGTATCAGGAATACATCCAAGAATTAAATGTAAGGAGAAGGGCTCCAATATCAAATTGGTCCTTTAACACACTTTATACCAGAAGTCTTGATGAAGGGTCATTCCCAAAACATATGAGCTAATGTAGCACCAAAGGAGTTACATTTTCAACAGCAGTCCACATTTATGTGGCCCATAACCAATAACCTATGTGGGGACCAGAGTATTGGAAGCAGGGCCAGCTCCAGGCACCAGCAAAGGGGCGGCCAAAGGAAAGGGCGGCACGTCCAGGTCTTCGGCAGCAATTCGACGGCGGGTCCCTCAGTCCCTCTCGGAGCGAAGGTCCCACCGCCGAATTGCCACTGAAGAATGAAGCGGCGTGGTAGAGCTGCCGCCGAAGTGCCACCGATCACGGCTTTATCTTTTTTTTTTTCTTCTTTTTCCGCTTCGCTGCTTGGGGCGGCCCTGATTGGAAAAAGCTTTTGGTGAATAAGTTGTAGGTTCAGGCCTATAGTTGCTTTTTTAAGATTAGATACAATTGTTCCCCAGTGGGTCACAGATAGTTGTGTATCCAATTTTCTATTCTAAGCAACTTTCAAATTATCAATCTTCGGCTGAGTTTTTGGGCCAAAAAATTGTAAAAGGATACCATTGGCTGAGAAAATCCAGGAAGTTTCCTCCAAAATAATAAAAGTTCTGGAGGTCCCAATGCATCTGGTCCAAACACATTCCTAAGTAAAGGCTTAAACTGGAGATATTTCCATGCTCTGGAGCAGGGCAAGTCAAATTGTGGCTGAAGATCAACAATGTTTTAAAATGATCATTGTCAATTAGCTGCGACAGTGTCATAATTCCTCCATGTCAAGGTTTTGTCACCAATTTTTAGGACAGGATTGCTCCATAGGACCAAGAATGGATGGAAGCAGAACCTTTTAGCCATATTTGACCAAGCTTGCCTCACAACCGTTATCGTGAAGTGCTAAGACTGTTGATGGGGAGGATGATGCAGCAGCTGCTGTTTTGTCCTTATTTTGACTTTTATATTTGGTGCACTCTCGCCAGTACAGTGACTGGGAGTGATGATTTTCATTTGAAGGCTAGTTTTAGACGAAGGGGGACCCAGCAGGAAAAGCACAACTGACTTTTGAAATTATTAAAAAAATGCAAACATAAGCAATAAACAGCAAACATTTTTGGAACAAAATTTCTATTTTTGTATCAGATTAGAGGATTAAAATGTTTCTCTCTGTGAAATATTTTACAATCTCTGTGAGATTGTTTTACCTTAAATAGTAAAGGATTATGTCCCCATCCTTGTTCTGTTTGTGCACTGTTAGCAAGAATTAGTGGTATGTGTATGTAGAAATGGATTTGCATGTGATTTACATTTTCCATGTAGCATAGAGCTTGTAGCACTAACAAGAAAATAACATGAGGGTAACATAGAAACTTTATAAAATGAGTGACAGAAATGTGGCAGGACCCTTGCATGATTGAGATTTGTGAAAATATGTGACAGATTCAGGAAGGATGAGCATCCCAGCAGAAAAACACTCCACTCATATAATTTTTCAGTGCATACTGGAATATTTATGTATAGTACCATGCTATGAGTTATCAGCAAAATATGAATCACTGCCAGCTTCTGTTTGACCACATATGTGGGACATCTGCAGATTCAGCTGCTGCTCCCATGTCTGACTTCACCCTGTATTTTAACTGTCACATGCATTTGAAGTATTAAAGGGACACTATCAACTTGAAGCATGATTATGTAACACCCCCTGCCACCTGACATGCTCCACAGTTAAAAGAAATTTCATATTCTACACCTGTATACTCCTGCCAGATTTTAGGGTATTACAATCAGTTTTCTTATTTAAAAAAAATGGTTCTCTCTCCTCTGTGTGAAAGCACACCACAAACAGAGGAACTAATTATTTATACAGGAGAAACTATGAAACTGGTTGTACAAGTGCTGGCAAACGCATAAACAAGCAGAAAAATAGAGAAAAAAGTGTGTATTTTTCACTTGCAGTTACATGTCACTTGTAACAACAGTATGTAAACAGTTTTCTGGCAGTAGTCTATGAGGGGTTTTTTTATGTTGGTATCACTTTAAATAAGGGGGTGTAGTAGGTTTGGGAACACGCACTGCAGATTTTCCAGGTCTTTCCAGGATAGGGAACCAATGATATAATCCCTGCCCATTTCCCCATCTGAACCAGTGGGAAAAATACTTCAGCATTCAAAGAATTTAAATAAGGACTTATTTCTTATTCCAAACCTTTATTTTACCATAGTTTTAAACTAGAACATGTTGAAGTCTACCTTCTGCAGCCCATTGATTCATGGGAAAAGGAAATGTTTAACAGACCTGCAGTCTAAACCTTACGTTACATATGGATCTATTGACAAAAATGCACACATGGTACATTTGTTTTAAACAGAGAAGTCACAGAAACAAACAATTGCTAATTAATTACTAGTAAGATTCAGGACTAAGATCAAAGTGTTTTGCCACAGTTATTAATTGGCTTTGGTCAGATTCCTCAAACTTGGGTGTCTGTAGTTGAAGATCTCAATAGAAGTGGTCTGATTTTCAGACATTCCGAGAAACCAGTTTTCACAGAAATCAATGGGAGTGCTGGGTGCTCAGCACGGCTGAAAATCAGGCTACTCCTATTGAAATGTCTAACTTTAGATGCAAAGGCCTTAGCTTCTCACAAACTTCAGCATGTACTTAATGAGTGCATGCGATGGGTCCCATCAACTTCAAAGCGACTTCTCACATGAGCACAATTAACAAATGTACCTGTGTGTGAGGGATTAGAACCCAAGTTTGAAAAGTTTGTCCCTTTTACTTTAATGTGCTCTCTCTTCAGCCATTCCTTTAAAACAAAACAAAACAAACAACTAAACATGCTTAGGACATCCCTACTTAATCTATTTGCACAAAGTATTACATATCTTTTCAAAAAATGGGAGACTGAGTCAATATTGTACATTTGTACATTGCTCTTAATCCAAAAGTGCAGAGTGGTACACAAAAGTCTTCTTGTGAATTATTTTAAGCAACCTAAGACACAGTTACTCTGACTGATACTCCTGAAATATTACATAGCATGAAGTATCAGGTCTTTTGACATCACTAATTTTATAGCTATGTTTTATGACTCCATTAATATTAACTCATTTGGGGCCCTATCTGGGTACCACTGAAGTCAGTAGTAATCTTGACACTGATTTCAGTAGTCACAGGATTGGACCTTCTTAAAGGAATTGAAAAAGTGTTCTCCTAGAATAAGAGGTGCTTGTTAAAAATATGCACATAGATATTTACATTTGTATTATCGGAGATCAGTGGTATCTAAAAATCCACTTTACAGTTCATAATGCTGCAAGCCTATTAGGTTCTAAGAATACTACTCTTAGTGTTTTCTGAGACACATTACTATTCCTGCCATTTATGCAAGAAAGTATTGTGAAATCACTTTGTAAGCTAGCAGCAGAAGGCAATATGATGAGTGAATGTTTAAGAATCATTTTATTATTGCTTTACATCTCAATTTCTTTATCTTGATGAAAACAATGGGCCACATTCTGCTCTCGGTCATATTAGTTCAAATCTGGCACAACATCATTGAATCCTGAGAGCAGAATCTGGCCCCATTCACATTTTTATACTTTGTAACACTGAATGTGTTGGTCATTGTTATGGTCAGTAATCAAGGCAATAAGGGGTAGGAAGTATGGGGCATGTATAATCCATGGAGGAATGTGAGAGTCGGTGAGGATACTTCCAAAACCTGTTCAATGGAGACAGGGGATAGAAATAATGGAGGCTATTAAATACTGAAGGAGATAAAGTTATTGATTGCATAGATGACGCTAATAAAATAAACAGGCATAGACAAATCGTTTCAGGAAACAAACTAGAGAAGATACAAGGGCAAAACCAGAACAGGATTACAACTGTTCCCCAGTTCCACACACACTGCATTTCATTGGTATTAATATTACACATATATGTCCCAAACCTCAGGCCCTCCATCCGAGTACTAGGTGCACGGAGTTCCCAATGAAGGAATGCTTTTCCCCAGTCCCACAGATTGTTTTGTAGCTGCTTCTGACTGCCCTGGTTTTTGGAAGGAGAAATGGCCTGCTGGATCTGTGTAATTGTGGATCCATAAGTCCTAGCTCCTCTCCTCTCCCCTCCCATAATTTCCCCTCCAAAACCATCTCATATAGAACTCTGCTCCTTGGTATGCAGAGAATGTGGACACTCTACACAGGCTTCAGCAGCCTGCCTCCTCATACAGTAGAACTGCATTGGTTGTGCTGTGTCTAGGTCCCTCCTGCCACCAAATGTTATCACCAGGACTTGCACATGTGAAATTGAAGGCAGAATTTGGCTCTAACGTGTCTGCAGGAAAAAGAATAAACTGGGTGGAGAACAAAGTTGCTGACAGGCACTGGATAGATAGGTGACAAGACAACCATGATGGACAACATGAAGTCATAAGGGAAAATGCTAGGAGGGCTAAAGAGAGAAGGTGAAAAGTGTGGATACTACAGATTGGTGTCCCAAAACCTTAAGTGGATGGACCTTTTTGGCTTTGCCCTCTTCCCCCTCACTCATTTTAGCAAACTACCAGAGGATTCAGGGGGCCTGGGGCAAAGCGGGGGAGCTGTGGCGCTTGTACTCACCTGGTGGCGGTCCAGGTCTTTGGTGGCATTTCAGCGGTGGGGGGGGGGCCCTTCAGTCGCTCCGCGTCTTTGTCAGCACTGAAGGGCCCCCCACCGCGGAAATACCGCCGAAGACTGGGAGCGACTGAAGGGCCCCCCGCCACCGAAATCCCACTGAAGACTGGGACCGCCACTGGGCCAGGGCTCGCAGGGCCCCTGTGGGGCCCAGGGCCTGGGGCAAATTGCCCCACTTGCCACCCCCGGACGGCCTGTCCTTACTTGTCCCAATATCAGCTCCAAGAAAACGTCATCGTTTTCAGCTCAACTGGCTGGAAATCTTAAATTCCTGGGGTGAATCGTGGAATCTTCTGTAGCAGTGATGCCCCAGCCAGTTCAGTGGAATCTGAGGTGTGTCTGAACTGCATCTACGATGGAATGAATAAAGTCTTTTCAGGGATGGAATTGCAGAGAAAGGTAATGGATCACCTCCAGAGACAGACAGCACTCACAACAGTGTTCATCTCTATGCCACTTTTCTGGTTGAAGGGAGACTCTAGAATGACCTCTAGAAAGTGCTGGCTCCAGGTGCGTGGAAGTGGAGAAAGAGTCATGGTCATGGGCACTTCAAATGTACTTCCTAACAAATTATCATGAACTTCAAAATGAATTATTGTCGTGTTATTTTAAAGCATCCTCCGGAGGTTATTTTCTAATGATAACTGGTTAAAACAGTTTCCAAGTTTGTTTAGATTGTAACCTGTGCAGGGCAAGGACTGTCTTTTAATGTGTGTTTGTATAGCGCCTAGAACTATGAGCCCTGATCCTGACTGGGGCATCTTGACACTACTGTAATACAAGTAATAATTAATACTAATAAGGTATCCTGAGAGTTCATAATAGCATTTTATAGCATTCAATGCTATTTTAAGTCATGGTAGCACTGTGTGTCCAGTGATAGCACCACATGCACCAAAGAAGCTAGAGAGACCTCTCTAGTTCCCTCAGCTATCCCATCAAGTCTCTCAACATTTCTTACTGACACCTAGCATCATTCTACATGATGCCATTGTGGATGCATTCCAGCCCCCACCTTGATTGGTCAGTTTTGGTTTATACTTTAGTTAACTTACTGTTAACACAGTTGCAAACTAGATTTGGCTTGTTTTTCATTTAAAAAGAGAAGCCTCTAAGGTTTCCACATCAGGAGGGGGAAAAAAAGCAGCAAGAAATAGCTCATAAAAGCTATTAGTGTGTGCATAGAACCGGGAAATGCTCTCAGTTTAATGTACAACGCAGTCACTGGAATAAAACAGGACATTTTTATGAAGACTATGAAAACAAATTCTCAAGGTAAGCTGCTTGCTTGACCTGAAGTCTGTTAAACAAATTATGTTCTGTTACACCAGTAACTATTTTCTTCAATGGAGTTAAACCCACATAATAGAGCAGAATTTAGTCCATTGTGTGTCCCATCTGTGGGTGTGACAGACGGAATGAGAAAGAGTTGGAGGACATGTTTAAAAAAAGAAAAATGGGGAAAGAAACAAAACCACAAGGAACAAATATGAATCAAAGATGAAAGAAACAAAACCATTATCCACAAGTAAATATGTGATTTGGCATCCTGCAGTAAATCCCACATTTACAGTGGTATAGCCCTATGCTACTATACTCAATCCCCACTGGGGCAGCTGGGAATGACAGTTGGGATAGGAAGACAAGGTGAGCGAGGTAATATCTTTTATTGGACCAACTTCTGTTGGTGAGAGAGAGACGCTCTCGAGCTACACAGAGCTCTTCTTCAGGTTAGGGTAGGAAGTCCATCTGAGGTACTTTGGAAAGTTGGTCCCTCACAGTAAAGTTTATGCATCCCTGTTCTTTTTCTCACTGGCAGCTGAGAGGAAAAAAAGCTCTTAATACCTGCCCACCGCCTTTGTACGCCACCAACAAGAAAACTGAACTGTAGCAGTTGGTGTTTTATTTTCATCAATGAGTCTTCAAGCCAATTGTGAGAATCCACCCTTTGAATAGGAGTCATTACAGTTCACACATACTTAAACAATACTGTGCACCCCAAGATACTCTAAAATGCCTTTAAAATTTGTTTTTGGGGCAGTATAACACCTCTAATCCTGTCAGTAATCTGCTGAATGGGCATGGTGGCTGTCCTAATACTCAGCTGAAATCCAAGCCTCTCTTGCTTACCCTTATTATCTTCTAAACAAATAATCACTTTTGTATTGAGTGATCCATTCATCTAGCTAGTCCAGAAAACTTTCTATTAGAAAATAAAAGACTTGTCAAAAAGAGATAGGTGCTTCTGATTGTGAGGTTGTATAGAGATTTGCAAGAGAGACTGGTACAGGGTGTCCACATTACTAATCAACTCAGTGGGTGCTGCTATACTGTCTGCCATAATTTTGGGCAGTACTGCTTCTGAAGTTCATACCGTCAAGAACAAATCTTGGTGTATGCATTCACTACATAGCTTATCCTGTGATGACATTCCAGGAACTATTGCCTTCTAGAGATAATAGTATTGGAATGATGTTGAATCATGAAACTGCATCCTGGGCACCCAGGTAAGGAGAAGTATTCATTGGGTGCTAGATATTTCTTTGCTGGCATCCACCCATCTATGTTAAAAACCATGAAGCAGCAGGTTGACTTGAAATACGCCATTCTAGTTTGCTGCCAGATATTCCACTGCTCATTTTAGCAGCACCATCTAAAAGGTTGTTTCAGTGTCTGAAGCGGTCTGAACAAAGATGGATTCAAAGACTGCCTAGTGACTATAATACAAATATACAAAAAGTCTGAAGATTTAATCTAGAAGGCTTTAGTTATTTGGTATAATAATGTGGAGAAGCAGCCAAGAAAACAATGACCAGAAAGTTGTCTTTTTTACACTTATGACAGAAACTTCTCAAATGCTTCAAGGAAATCTGTGGAAGAGCTAAGCCCGTCTATGCCCAACAAATTATTCTTGCCATGAAAGTGGAATAAATCAGTCTCTTCCTCCTCTCCATTTTCATGTTCTTCTTGTCCTTCAATGAGGTTGGTCTCGGAAGTAGGAATGACAATGATACGTGGGACTGCAGTACTAATGATGGGGTCCAGGCCTCTGTTTATTTGAGTTTCCCTTTGTGAGGTATCTGAGCCTCTTCCTTTGCTGATGCTGTTCAAGCCAACGGGAAGAGAAGCTGCTTTTAAGGAACTGGTCACAATTGCTTTAGGGGAATTCTGTAGGACTGACCTCCCAAGCAGCTTCTGCAAGTAGCTGGAGGAGAGCAAAACCTAGGGTAAAAACAACACTAAATCTTTAATACCATCATTTGACATATAACAACCGTAGGTTATCTCACCCCACTGAAACTAATGTTTGAAATCTCTTGTACCAGTCCATTACCTTTTAGGTGCTAGTTCTCTTGAGCTGTTTCCCATTAATATTTGAGCCACTGCCCCAAAATAAAATCGGTATGATGTGATCAATGTATTAAAATTTACCCAACTATCACTTTTAGTAATGCACAACATACACAACAAAATACTAAATGAAGTAAAGAGATGCATATTTGGTCAAACATTTTCAGAAATGTGTAGGTAATGGACATTATCCCATTTTATGCTATGATCAATGGAGAAGCACATTCTGAAACACAATAAAGCATTATTTATCCATATTAATTTGGAACTGTATTGTACCCATTCTGCCATAAGTTTTTACGGTTACTGGGCTAAATCCTCAGCTGCTGCAAATCAGTACAACTCCGTTGTCTTTCACTGGAGCTAGGACAAGTTACAGTATTTAAGGATCTGACCGACTTCCTGTTTAAAAAAAAAAAAAACAACCTTCCAAGGAAAAAATTGATATATAAAAGGGAGATTTTTTTTTCAGGCATCCCAGTAGTAACACAGTATTATGCTGCTGCCTCAAAACTCTTTGGGGATGAAAGTAGAAACTTCCATGTGCTCACTCTTCAGAATAAAACTGAGTTTATTTCACAACATTTTCTATTCATTGTGTTCTAGACAGGCTCTAATACCGCTCTCGTCACTGTAGTATCAGAGGATACATCTACACTGCAATAAAAGAACTAGTGCACAGGCCCAGCAGGCCCAGGTCAGCTGAGTTTGGAGCATGTAGCTTGAACTGCGGGGCTAAAAAATTGCAATGTAGAAGGTCAGACTCAGGCTGGAGCCTAGTCTCTGAGACCCGGTGGGTGGGGAGGATTTCAGAGCCTGAGCCTAAATGTCTACACAGCTATTTGTAGACCTGCAGCCTCAGGAACTTGGTGCTGCGGGATTTTTATTGCAGTGTAGACATACCCTCAGGGTTTTAGAATAGCCTCTGCCCCCACCCTTAAGAAAGTTCCAATCCTGCATCAGATGTCTCATACAGGCTTTAAATGTTATTTCTCAAACATTTTAACGCATGAAACCTGTCACATCCTGGAATCTTTTTTCTGTATAATGAACAAAGAAGGATCTCAGATTAGATATTTATATAGAACAGTTTGATTCTTTGTATCTTTATTTTCTTTAAATTCCATTTTCCCTGCCACAACCACAGTAACAATTTCAATAGTTATGTCCTGAGATGGTTCCTATTTACCTTGTCCTCACAGTAGGTGGCGCTGTAACCATAAGAAAATATAGATAGTAACATATTTAATAAAAAATAGGGAAAAGAAAAATAATTCCACTTCTTTGGCTTCAGAAGCTCTTCACTTTCTATTCACTCTGATCAATCTATAATTTCATGATGACTATTTTAGTTTACCTAGGACTCTCAAAAGATCAATCCAATCATCATCAGGAGTATAAAAATCAACCACCACCAACACGAATGCTTTAAAAAATGTAAATAATAATAAAGCAAGTTTTTGTAATCAGACTAATATTTTTTAAGTAAACAGGTTTGTGTTCTTTTGGGAGAACATCTAAATCCTTTAATTAGCTCATTCGAAGAAACAGGAGGGAGAGAAAAAGACAGAGAATGTCCTTTTGAAAACCTATTTTATTTCCCTTTTTTTCTCATAACTGGGAGCCAGAGACTCCTGAGTTCTAAACCTGGCTCTGACAATGACTCCCTCAGTGACCTTAGACATGTGGCATAACCCCTTTTCCTCAGTTTTCCCATGTCCAAAATTATGGCAATTCCTCACAGGAATGCTGTGAAGATTAGTTAGTAAATGTTTTCATGACATTCTGAACATGGAAAGCATGAAGTATTATTATTATTTTAGGCTTTCCTAAAATAATTGCAATGATGATTATAAAAATACATAGTGAGAAATAGAAAGGAAGTGGTTAAAGAAAAATAGAAACCCCTCTCTGGCAAGGAGAAGGAATATGAAAAAGAAAAATATAATGAATACTTCACTCCTTTGGATATTTCTGTGAAAACTGATGTAGCTCAGGGCAGAGAACAAGTCTTGCTCTTTGTTTTATAAAGCATCTTGTACATTTATGGTAATATATACATGTTTATATTATTAACCTTGAGTGTCCTTAGGTCTCCTCCTCTCAACATACATTAAGTGTCTTTCTTCTATTGGAGGTATTTCTCTAGCACTGATAAACCATAGTACTTAAGCTCATAACATTAGTACACTGCAACATGATGGCCAAGTGTATCTTTATCTCCTTCTAGTGGCTGGACTATGTACAAAGAGGTTTTCTGAATCTGCTAAAGCCTCGGAGCTGATGAACTAGGTTCTTTAGCTCAAAATTGTCGATGCTCATGCTTTTAGATCATGACAACCTGGTTGTAAGATATTTCATGTTTGAGCAAAAGATTTTGCATTTGTGGGAATGGGGATAGGACAGGTTTGATGCTATCGTCCATCTCTCCCTCCCTTTGGGTATCACATTGGATGCCTATAGCTTATGTTATAACATAACAATATATTCCAATTCCATAGACAGGAATTAATAATTTTAATTTAATTATAATGATTTCTGCAGCTACAGTGATGGTCATTTTAAAGGGATGCACTCAAAGTGGACAAAACCAGAATATGACACTCCCTAAATGAACACTTTAAGGATCCCTGACACAGAAGAAAAGTCCAGTTCTCCAAACAGGGCCAGCTAGAGAATTAAAACTCCAGCTCCCCAGCTGCATAAGCCATTCACCCCACATCAGAGCTCTGTGTTTGTAGTGAATATGGTTGTGTGCGCACACAGCACCATCTCCCAGGTTGGTGGGCCTGCCTTGCTCCTGTGAGCAGGCTGCTTGTTATAAATAACAGAAATCCTGCTCTTTAAAGTGCTAGGATAGCAGAATTCTTGTTAATTTCAACCCCTACAGACTCACAATAATGTAAAGAGCAGGGAGAACAGAAGAACGGTTTAATGGGGGTGACAACAAAGACATTAGCGCCAGCAAGATACCTTGCTGAAGGATAGCATTGTGTCAGTCCTTGTCTTTGAAGGCTCATGGCTTTCCAAGAGTAGGGGGAATTGTTAAAAAGGTACCATTTGGACTAGTGTTAAAATATGGACCTTCAGTATGCCTATAGGTCTTCTACACTCAGTATACATTATTGTTTCTCTGCCACAGGTATTTCTGTAGTGCCCATCCCCATTGTATCTCAGCTAACAATCAACAGAGAGTCCTGTGGCACCTTTAAGACTAACATGTATTGGAGCATAAGCTTTCCAGCCCACCTGCAATTTTGCATTAAACAATCTTGATCTGAATCAATTTACGAAGAAGATATCATAGGATACAGCTAACAATATTTGCCTTTTAATCTACAGATATGTAGGTACAGTAGATATTGCTCTCTTTTGGGAGCGTAGGTGTGCAAAGCAGGTATGGGGACTGCCCTGTGAGATCATTGTAACGGTCTGAATTTTATGATTAGAGCCTCATTTCACACTACCAACATAGTCACTGTCACATGACACATCACTTTCCTGGACCAGAGGAAAAGCTCTCTGTGGCTCGAAAGCTTGTCTCTATCATCAACAGAAGTCGGTCCGATAGAAGATACTACCTCACTCCCCTTGTCTTTCACATGTTTTAGTGTCATTCCAGATTTGATGTGTAATTATGTCAGTCCATTGCCATAGGCCATTAGTCTCATCACTCCCAGGTGCTGACACAGAAAGCACATTCTCCCAACATGCTGGGAGCTCTGGGAGGCATTGCCCCTGGGGTGGTAATTAGCTGCCACACTCTGGCCTTGGCTATATGTCAGCAGCCCACCTGCAATTTTGAATTAAGCAATGTTGATCTGAATCAACTTACGAAGAAGATATCATAGGATACAATAAGTTTCCCAATCTTGACAGGATGGACAGTTTGTTTTTTGTTTTGTTTTAACGTGGAGCAGAGGAAAAGTGAGATTATTCTCTGCCTCAGAAACTTTACTATATTGATAAATACATGGACAAAATGATCCTTGACCTGACTCCAACTCACAGCAAGATCAACAGTAGGTTTAAAGTATTGCAACCAAAATCTGTTGTAGACAACTTGGTCATGCTATCTAGAAGTCTAAAGTAAATGCCTAAAAGGTCAACTTTGTGTTTTTAGGGCAACCGGAAGACCTGATGTTGAAGTGCTCTCATTGATCTTGACAAGAGGATACATGCTGGAAGCTACTGAGATATGCTTGTGCATGTAAGAAGCACAAAGAAGAGCTTCACACCCTGCACCTGGGACACTCAATATGAATATTGTGAAAGCGCCTATCTGCAGCATTATAAACCACATATGTCAGTGAATAGTACTGAGAGCAATAGAGTGCAGGACCCCAATCAAGGGCTACTTATCAAAACTATTAGACAGCCATCCTTCGAGGACAGTGTGGCTAAGTTACAGTCATTAAAATAATGAATTACTATGGGTCAAAATGTCTATGAAGAAAACCTCAGATTTCCTCCCTCCACTTCTCTCTCAGGAAAAAAAAAAGGAGGAAAAAAAAAGAAGAGATTGAATTTGGAGTTGGGGGTGTCTGGAAGGAATCCCCTAACTCTTCTTCCTCTCCACTGTTTTAGGCATTATGTCCAGACATGCATTTAGCAAGGGAGCTCTGCAGCAAGGTGAGGTCACCCAGTTTGGGTCCATTCCTGCCAGCAGGAACTGGACATTTCAGGCACCCAGCCTTGTGACTGAGGGTTAGACAGAGACTTCACAGTCAGGGCCCTTTCCCCACTTTCTTCTGCACAGAGGGTGTGAGCCTCTACTGTTTCCATGGCTTCCAAAGCCAAGGCCTAAATATAGCACCTCTATATAAAACCCTAGCTGCCTTCCTCACCAAGAGACAGGAACAAACTGGAGGTCTGGGCACAGAGGGCCAAATCCTCAACTGTTGTATATCAAAGTAGCTCCATTGATTTAAGCGGAAATATGCCAATTCACACCAGGTAAGGGTGTGGCCCAGGGTGCATGACAGAGGTGGGATTTGGCACCAAATCTCTTGCTCCCAATAGGTCCTTTACTGACACCTGAGGAGCAGACCTACTCATTGTCCATACTGGCTCACCAAGCTACAGAACGCTGGCCTAAGTGGTGGCACGTGATCTCTGTCATCATTGTCTTTTTTTTTGGTTTTAAAGTAATGAAACTGATTGATGTGACTTTTGCAGTGGCGCTACTTGGAATGAAAAAGTGAGGATTATTCTGTCAACAGAACAGGGCCGGCTCTAGGTTTTTTGCCGCCCCAAGCAAAAAAAATTTTGGCTGCCCCCAGCCCTGGGCTCTCAACCCCCCCCTCCCCCCACCAGTGCCCTCCCCCACCCGCACCCCTTGCTGCCCCAGCCCTGGGCTCTCTCTCCCCCCCCCCACCCTAGCGCTGGGCTCACCCCCCCCCCCGCATTCCCTGCTGCCCCAGCCCTGGGCTCCCCCCCACCAGTGCTGACTCCGCCCGTTCCCCCCTCGCCTCCAGCCGGTCTGGCGCTGGCAGGGTCAGGATAAGCAGCAGGGCTCCCAGGCCACGCCTCAGCCAAGGGTCCCTCCAGCCAGGGCTCCCGCCTCCAGGACCAGCCGGGACCCGGGAGGGCAGAGCCGGGGGACTGCCCTGGCAGAGGCCTAAGGAGCTGGGGCAGGGCAGCCCCAGAGGGAGCAGAGCCCTGGAGAGCGGGACACAGCCCGGGCCCCGCACGGCAGCACCCCGCCCTCTATGGCCCCGCTGCTGCTTCTGGCCACCCTGCCGCAGCCCATGGGTGGCTTGGGCTGCTTCACCCACCCCGGCTGCAGCACTGGGGGACGGCCGCCCTGTGGCACCTGCAGGCGGCTCCGTGTGCTCCGCGGGGCGGCCCCCCGCCACAGTGTCCCCCGCTCGGAGCCCGCCCGGCCCAGCCACAAGGTGCAGGCGCTGCTCCCCTGCGGTGCAAACCTCAGCGGCCCCAGGGCGCCCCCCGCACACGATGCGCTGCTGCTGCCAGGGCCGGCTCTAGGCTTTTGCCGCCAGAAGCAACAACATAAAAAAATAGATGGACAGAATGCCAGATTCCCATCTACATTAAGGCCCCTTTACACTACCCTAGCAGTGTAAAAGGTCTTAAAGTAGAAACAAACTGCATTTACACTCACTTTAAGTCCATTTTACATTGCTTGAGCAGCATATAAGGGCCACAAATGTGAATGAGGATGAGAGTGGGGAGTCCATGCCTCAGAGAACATGCAACCTAAACAGATAGCACATAGATGAAGTGCAGAGATGGGATCAAAAAGAACGCGCTAACAATACTGTACAACTTGTCAGTGACGCAATCATTCTAACGCTGTTTTGTTTTTTGTTTTTTCTTTCCCCAAAAATTATTTTCTACTGCCTGCTTTGTCAATGCTTTATAAAGGGGAGGACTAAGGTTTTCCAGGCCTTGTGGAAGAAGCGACATGAAAGAGACACCTGAAGGACGAGTGAGTGGATGCATTCAGGAGTAGGGAGCTCAGTTTGCTGTGATTCCCGAGATAGCTTCTCATTTAAACTATGCTGTCTCTAGAAAAATAACCAGAGATCCAGAAGGAAAGAAAGGTGACTGATTCAGGTGACACTTCTTATGGTGTATTGTTAGTTCAGTTAGACATGTCGTAGATACAGCCATGAGGAGCTGGGTACCTACAAACCTGGGAGTACTAGTAGGTTGGGTATTGAGAGTCTTATGCCTTTGTCTACTGAAGGTGTAGCGTTGGCATATTTTTCCATGTGATTCACAGCAGTACTATAGCTGGAAGTCCAGTGATACTGAAGTATTGGCAAGAGCTGATTCAGGGGTGATCTGAGGTCATCTTCCGAAGTTCCACCTCTGGAAAAGTGACACTTCTGAGAAAATGACACCAAACTGCAGCAGTTTGGTTTGTAGTTTTGTTGCATCCACAAGAGATGCACTCAGTACTCACCATCTCCAGTTTCAGTGAGAGAAGGGGGGCAAGCTGCCAGACTTTCCCACTCTCAGGGAGAAATGGGAGTTTCTCTCTCCTCTTCCCCCTCAACAAAGATAAAACATTTTTTTAAATGTATACTAAAATGAGCGTGCAAAAAAAAGTGGCTTCCACTACTTCTGAATCTGACTTGAAACGGTGATTTTGTAGCAAATGGAGTCTGCCACAACATGGAGGTGAGTTCTTTAGATTTGGGAGTGGGATGAGATCAACCAGGACTGGAGGAGGTAAACATGCTGAGATAAAGCGGTCAGGTTCTTAAATTCATCCCCACTAACTGCATTACAAGTCAGCATTTGATCTGGAATGGTAGGTTGCTTTTCCAGCAAAGGCAAAGCTGCTGGGAAAAGAGCTAAAGCATTCATAGAGGCTGTAATGGTGGGGTGGGAGAAACCTTCAAAACCACAAATATGGGTGAGGTCTTCAAGATGTATCCACCTCAGCATCAAGGTTGAAGGGGTAAACCAGAGAAGACTTGCCAAAGAAAGATTATACAATAAAAACAAGAAACAACTAAGTCCTTCTTTTACCTTTTCTTCAGCTATTGCATTGCAGCTGTGGGCCTTCAGAAGCAGTTCCCTCTTCTCCTCCTGTCTCGGACATGATGAAAAAGAGTTACTTCTGGAAGGCTGCAGTTTCTTATGAACTGGCTCCACTGGTTCAAGCTCTACGTCACTCCAAGCCTAAACACCAAGTGAGAATTATTTCAAACAGTTATATTCTAACTTTTTAAATTTTCTTTTTCATCTGCTGGTAAGCAGGTTGCTTTTGCATGTAGACAAAATGAGAGGGTTCTAAAATGGGCCATATACCCAGCCCTGATGAATTCCCCAATGGACAAGAATTATTCCACATACTCTTGATTTTCAATCTTACTGCTCTCCTGGGATTTGTCTCTTTGGAACCACAGAGCTTGTAACACACAGTGCATCCATTTTTACCCAGACTTTTCACTCACCTTTGATCTCTGTAGTATAGTGATGCTTGTGGCACCTAAGCATTAGATATCCAGTAGCAGAGAGAGAGAGTACAGTCTGGAATGTGGGCAGTTACTTCACTTATTTTTCCTGTGCCTCACTAGGAATGGAGCTCAATCCTGATTTGCTACAATCCAGATATTCCATTTCTGGACCTATCTTGTGCAAAGATTGTGAATCATGACAAATTATATGTTGATTTTGTGATTCGGACAAAAGGCGGAGACCAAACTGTTTTCCACATGCACTTAAGTGAGGATTTGAAATGAGGTCCATGAAGGTGTGAAACTAATGCATGAATATCACTGGATCACTTAGTTCCCTCAGCTATGAATTGTCTTTTCATTTTTCCTTCTTTGTATAATTAAAACTACAGATGCCATTTTATTTACATTAGAAATGGGCACACGCTCAGACAAGAGAATTTGTTTGGTGGAAACAGCTACATTTCCTATTTGGTGCTGCCAACTTGTGCATTAGCAAGTGTGTTACAAAACTTCACCATGAACTGCTACCATGCAATATGCAAAAGCCACTGGGTTAAGCTTTTATTTCAAAGGGCAACTACCCAGCTGCACTGAACTGGCATTTTAAAACCATGTTTCCTGTCAGTCACTGAAAGAATAATTGCCTCTGGCAGTGTCAAATCAACACAGCACTGCATTACAACAGCAGCAGCAGTTTTGTTTGAGACCTATAAGCAAAGGTTAGGCCAAGGCTGACACCTTTAAAGAACATTATCCCATGCCTAGAAAGGAGAATACTTTAAAAACAAAACAAAACAAAAAGACTCAACTGAGTTTACAGAAAATTAATGGTGACTTACAGAACAAAAGAAATGGCTCAGGTCGGGACATGTAAGGTGCTATAAAATGACTACAGTGAATCTCATTTAGCGTCCACTAATCTACTCATTCATAAAAAAAAATTGTTGAGAGGGAAATAAAGGAGAAAATGAGTCAAGGAAAATGGAAAGGTGAAAGGAACAGGAGGATACATAGGAGAGGGTAAAAGAAATGACTTAGAAGCCTTCCTTTTTTTTAAAAAAAAAAACCCTCTTATTTTATCATCTCCAGAAACAACATATTTCCAGTGCCACCCTTGCATAAGCGCTATGTACAACTAGTGACGTAGGCCTTGATCTAGCAAAGCATTTAAGCATGTGCTTAACTCTAAGCATGTGAGTAGTCCCAGTGACTTTGCTGGATATGTATCTTACAGCAGAAAATGTACCTGCTTTTCTTGTCAGAATGCTTCATATATTTTATACAATAGCCTAGGTTTCTGAGAATAATCTTAATGCTTCCACAGAACCTCCAGGGCAATTACATTATCATCCATCTTCATGAACAATACCTTAATGTATCATCCCTATAGTCAGAAATTTAATGGCCTGTGAGTGTAAATTAGCTCAATGGGCAAAAGTTTCCATATTTTATTTACATTATAACAGAATTACTGATACTTTTTTTTTAACAACTCCTGTTGCCATGGCATCCGTAGCACTGCACAATAAATACAAAAATGAGTGATTCATAGAGATGGTTCAATAAACAATTGCTGCAATGTTTCTACCATGTTAAGGTCCTTCATCCTAACACTGTGACAATCAGTTAAATGCCTGGTTGAACAGGGAAGCCTTAAAATTTGCCATGAAGGCTGAAAAACTCTGGATCACACAGACTTATAGATTTTAAGATCAGGGCCATATGAAGGAGCAAGTTCCCAAGGCATTGGTGTTCTGCAGACAATACTCCTCCTGGAAACTTCTGTTCCATTCAGCAAGTGTGAAAGCATTGGAAGCAATTGTAATTGTTGCTGTGAGGCACTCAGGGAGAGGCATTCTCTCAGGCAGCCCTGACCCACACCAGTTAGTGCTTTTACATGATAACAGTATTCATTACCTTAGCTCTGAAGCAGGAAGATTTTCTGACCACACACAAGAATCTCAAAGGGTACAGATATTCTCAGTTCAGTGTATGTTGATTTAGGTGTGTAGTTTCCTGCGGCTATGTCTGCGCTAGCGTTTTTCAGACAACTGGTGCAACTCCACTGGAATCAGCTATATATGACAGATTCCTAATGTAAGGAGGGGATAGGTTTTTACTACTTTATTGTCCTGATTTTTCAGAAGACTGAAATGTTCCCAGTGCACACTCCTAAGTTAGTTTGGCTCAGGGCAGATCTAAATGATAGAGTGATAAAATGACTGTGCCCTGTTTACAAAAGCAGGCACCCCATGACCTGCTACCTGTAATGGTGGGAGGTTCCGTCCAAAATACTAGTATAGGCAAAGCTTTTGTATCAAGGACAAACCGGTGTAGAATACTATCAAATACAACTCTTAGCCTGCAAAATAACAACAGGAAAAACACTGCAGGTTGGTGGTGCTATGTAATTTAATTTTTAAAATACAATAACTTAGCATCTGTTATTCTTTTAAATTAAAAAGAAATTTTGCAGTAAATAGATTATATAAAAGCTAAGGACAAAGTTTACCACTTATGTATTACCGAATGTATAGTTCTACAATGAAGTAGGGCTGGCGAACAATTACCGGTAGTTGTGTTCTATTATATCGGTCACCATGGTATTTGAATGCCCTCCAAGAGTGCATTTAGTGACAAGACTCATGTATGTCACTTGTGGTTCTTGCCATATTATTATTTGTTTGTATTATGGTAGCATCTAGGAGCCCCAATCATGATCCAGGAAACCATTGTACTACATGCTGTACAGAAAAAAAAAAAAAAAAAGATAGTCCCTGACCCAAAGAGTTTACAATTGAAGTTAATTGTACTGCTGAAAGTACCTCTTAAGACAGAATTTTCCATTTCAGTTGGATGTCTAATTAAAATAACTGCATGGTCTGTCTGGAAGAGTTGCAAAAGCAATGGGCTTCAGACATATCTTAATCTGGTCTATAATTTTAAATGACAGATAGGTTTATTTGATTGTGGTATTACCACCAGATCTTTTCTTAAGGGAAGAGACAAATCATTTCACTATCTGTTCTGTTTTTAGTTAAAAAAAAAGATTTTTACAAATTAAAGGCCTGATCTTGCAATTAACAGTCCATGGGCAGAGTGTTTTGCAGTACAGAACCCTACTGACTTCAGTGGGGCTCTAAGCAGACGCAGCAGTCTGTCTGTGCTTTCAATTGCAGAATCAAACCTTGGTGTCCATCATGGATTTAAAGAGAATAAAGAACATAAGATGCACTTAATGTCAAATATTTGGATCTACAAAGGATTAATATAGACCTAGCTTGAGTGCAAAATGATGGTCAGTCAATTTAGTCTAGAGCTCCAATGAACAAATATTTTGACTACTCTGAGTGGTTTTCGGGACTGGTTGGAATGTGGGAGGAGAGGATCATATGTGTAAAACATAGGAGGATTTGGACTGTGTTAGAAAGTACTTAGGAGTGGTTTCTTCCAATGCTTGGTGCTAACATTGCTAACTATATTCACAGCAACCAAACACAGCTTTTCTGTTAGTACTTATGAAGTTACACAATAGTTCAATGTGTGCATGGGAGTGGGGCAATTCCCTTTGATAGGTGACCAGAAATCTATAACAAAAGGTTTTGTGATCCCTCTGCACCCTTGATTGGGATTTCTTCAATTTGCCAGTGAGTACTGTCTTTTTACTCATGTATGTTTATTTTACCATCTGTTTACAACACAGTTGTTAAAAAAATTTTCTGGTGCTGGGATCAGTTCACTGAGAAGCAGGATCTCACATTTCTAAAGGTGGATTGGAGAATAAAGTAGAAAATAAAGTGCTATATTTACAGTTTCTACTCAGACATTTACAACTTGAAACTACTGTAAATCAATTGGTGAACTGGGAAACAAAGTGTTACTATGAATAATTATGAAAGTTTGGTATTTATTTGCTTTCTGAGAAGTAATACTATGTAGCAGAAGAAAGCCATTCAGGTGGCTTGATAAAACAGAATGGACAGTTTTTGATCAAGTTTCTGAACACTTTATGTTCTAACCTGTGGGGAAAAGAATCGTCTTCAAGCCAGATTTGTCATGCTCCCTTGTTTTCTTGATGTTCATCAACCCACTTCCTAGATCATACTGCTTTTTCAAAATCTATCTTATCGGAAGGATTTAAAGCATCTCTTTTGAAATTTGGCTACCTGGTCATGTTATTTTGACTCTGATATTAGTACCCTGAAATAAATAGCTTGCAAGTGACACACTACACATCCGTGAGTCCTCATCCTTGCCTAGACTGTTGTCTTCCAGCCTAAAGGACAGCCCAGGGGTAAAAGCCTAGCTTACTCTTAGTTCAACCTGTCACAGTGATTATCATCTTTGTAAATGTTCTAGATGATAGTTTGAGCTGAGTGAACTTTCTTATGGTAGTTCAGCGCAGTGTGAAAGAGCTGAATAGAGTAGGGCCCTAGAGAGGACTAGCACTGGCTGAGTGCATCCCCTATGCCAGTGTTTCCCAAACTTGGGACGCCGCTTGTTTAGGGAAAGCCGCTGGCGGGCTGGGCTAGTTTGTTTACCTGCCGTGTCCGCTGGTTCGGCCGATCGCGGCTCTCAGTGGCCGTGGTTCACTGCTCCAGACCAATGGGGGCTGCAGGAAGTGGCGGCCAGTACGTCCCTCGGCCCGCGCCACTTCCAGCAGTTCCCATTGGCCTGGAGCAGTGAACCACGACTACTGGGAGCCGTGACTGGCCGAACCTGCGGACACGGCAGGTAAACAAACTGGCCCGGCCCACCAGGGGCTTTCCCTACACAAGCGGCGTCCCAAGTTTGGGAAACACTGCCCTATGCAGACCACTGATGTGCTGAGTAATGCCCTAATAGGCACAGTGTCAATGCAGAAGAGTCTGACTTTTCAGGAGTTGGGGGGAATGGTAAGAAGTCAGTCTGGGTGATGTGAGAGCCCCCAAAGGAACTTTTTATTTTTAGTACTATTCTGTCTGGTCCTATGGATATGAAGCCTACAAGGCCTGGGCTCTATTGAATTTGACATGACAGATAAAGAGTTAAAAGTCTGAGAGCATTAATTTTCATAATTTAACTAAAAATATATACATTTTGTAAAGTTAATGTGAATTTAATATACATGATTTTTCCACATAAAATCCCTCTGCACTGTCACAGCTATACCCCAGGCAGAGCACCAGCTGCTACAACGCCCAAGATTCCACTTCTACAAAACAACCAAATTGGAATGCATGTTAAAAATTGGATAAATAAATCAAACGATAATATTCCTGAAGCACAGTAATTATTCCCATACAGAAACAACTTTATTCTTCCAAGGCTTTCAGAAACAGATGCCAAAGTATGACTTTGGATACATTTTTAGAGAATTAACTGGGGACCTGACTTGTTTCAGACAGGCAAGTTTTATAACCAATTTCCTCCCTGGAAATAAGAAAGACTTACTGCTTCTCCAGTGGAAACTGATGAAACACAACTACTCTTGTTCCTGGAGGCAAAAGAGCGACGGCTGGAGACAGAGGCCCTGAATGATGATTCATTTATAGAACCTGATGAGAGATCGCTCTTTGATATCCGTATGAAAAATCGCAAGCAAGGAACAGCACTACGAATGGTTTTCCTAAAGGGGAACAGGAAAGTAAAAGTTACAAGCTGTGTAACACCACAAATACTAGCAGCACTGTTTGGAAAATGATCTGACAGAAGTTCTCTCTCTTTCGGTAATCTCAGTAAAGCTTTTGGTTTTGTTTTATAAAGATTAAAGATTACTTGGAAGTAGCTTGTTAGGGCTAATGTGAACTGTTAACAAGACAAAAGGAAAGACATCACATGGATTCAGCACCTTTTAACCAAAAGGATTTAAAGGATGCATGGATGAGTAGTGAGAATTGAAAATACAATCAATTTTTAGTCATACGTTCAACTTAAAAAATGATTAGTTAATTTAATTGCAAATAAATGATTAATACTGCAAACATACAAAGCTATTGAACCATAATGGGTCAGATTCTCTCCTGTGACGAGATCTGTTCTGTGCACGGGAGAAGGGGAGCAGCCTTGGGGAGCCAGTTATTATTTATTTGTATCATGGTAGTATCTAGAAACCTCAGTCACAGACCAGGACCTTAATGTGCTAGGCAATGTACAAACACAGAACAAAAAGATGCTTACAATCTACAAGCATTTACAATCCGCACAACGTTTAGTAGCAATCTAAGGGCCTGTCTACACAGCATGGCAATGCACACTAGACAGAGTCTGATTATGGATTTTTGGGGCCCTGGGCCAGAGCAAGTGCCTCCTCCTTCCCTGGCGCTCCTGCAGGGGAAATGGGGTTGGGGCGCAAGGGCTTCCCCCGCCCTCCCAGCACTCCTGTTGGGGAATGGAGCTGGCAGGAGTGCCGGGTGGATGGGCATAGTGGGGCAAGCCCCCATGCCCCAACCAGAGTGCCAGGCAGGCGGGCGGAGTGGGGCAAGCCCTTGTGCCCCAACCCCCCGCAGGAGCCTCGGGTGGATGGGTAGGCGGAGGAGGTCAGGGCACAGGGATGCCCATTTTTCTGGGGACCCCCAATTGGCCGGGGCGCCTGGACATGGGCCCAGTGGCTAATCTGCCACTGACACTAGAGGGGAGTGAATCTACAGTGCACCGATGTGTTGTGCATGAACAAGCCTGTACAGACCTGCTGGCATAAACTAAAAGTTCCCCAGCACGCTAGCATAACCTGGGGCCAGTTAGGGTACATGTACACTGCAATAAAAAGCCTGTAGCCCCGAGTGTCAGAGACCATGTCCATTTACCTGGGCTTGTAGGACTAAAACTTGCAGTATGGCATTTGGGCTCAGACTGGCGCCTGGGTTCTGAAACCCACTGTCCTCATGAGGTTTCAGAGCTCAGGATGTAGCCCGAACCTGAACATCTACGCTGCAATTTTGTAGTCCATCAGCATGAGCCCCATGAACCTGAGTTAGCTGACCCAGGCCAACTGCAGCCCTTTATTGCAGTGTAGCCATACCTGTAGTGTGCAACGCACTGGCGTGCTTCAGAATTCACACCCCTCTCATGCACATTGTTGCACCATGCAGACAGGCCTTAAGTAACAGTTATGGGTCCCTGAGTTTTTGGGCTGATCTGTGCTGGCTCAGCCCCAGCATAAATTAGAGCAGCCTAGGGGGCTCACTAATCCACGCCAATTGGCTACACTCCACAAGGGACCATATGCCAGTTGAAAACTGGCAGATGATAATAGGCAGAGCCCTCTGGTCCTTCGCCCAGCCACCCCCACTCCCCGTGATGGGGTGGTCAGTTGGCATAGGAGCCAGGCATGTTGACTTGAAGCCAACTGATGGTTCTTTGCTGAGGGAATTGTCAGCTGGTTAGCGATGACTCGATTCCAGCTCCTTGAGGCTGCCTGTGTTGTGCAAAGCAGATGGTTCAAGGGCAGAGAATCTGGCCCAATGCCTTTGTACTTGGTATAATAAATCTACAACCTCATATCACTCCAGATTAATTCTAGCGCAATCAACAAAATACCAGCAAATATTGCTACAGACAGAAACGCACAAAGACAATGAATAAGATAGGACAAGTCACACATACAATGGACAACCACTACTGCTCTGTGCACTTGTGAATCACATATCAGTGAAGGAAGCGAAGACATATATTAAACTCCAGAAGCACATGTTAGAGCTGGATGAATATTGCAACAACAACAAAAAATTGCTTGAACATTAATTCAACTTTTTAAACAAATTTGTTTGTTTATGTTTGCTCCCCTGTTCCCATTGCCCATTTCCTGTAAGTCTAACAGTGAACAACTTTGCTTGCGTGTGAGGAAATAGTGAATTTTCAGCAAATACTCCAATATTCAAGAAGAAAATATTACATTTGTAAAAGTTCACAGAGGCCTCAGAAATCTGATTCTGAAAGATACTCTCACATGAATAAGGAACAAAAATGTACCATATGATCTGGGAATCTAAGACAGATTGCAGCATATTCGGTAGTCTTTGTCTACAGACCTGACTGGGACAACGGAATGGAAGCCTTAATGTCTACAGGCGATTTGGGCCCGAATGAGTGCTAGCTGGCTGAGTCTTAGATTCTGTTCTTGCAATGAGTCCTGCCTATGCAATTGCAGAGCCCCTCCCTGACTTCAGTAGCGCTGAGTGAATGCAGGGATCTGCCCCTGTGGAGCTCACTGCAGGATTGAGGCCTTAATCCAGGTGAGACAGAAGTAACGCTGATTGGGTGGAAGAAATAACCGGAAGAATTAACAACCGATTTATTGGTAGCTGAGGGAATGCAACCAGTGACTGTGATACAGGTTCATGGTTGAGATGTTTTCTTGGACCCCAGGCTGCTGCTGAATTGTCTGACAGAACCTGTGGCCAAGAGTACTGTTTTCTGCCTGCAGCTAGGAAGAGAAGTGCAACCACTTCTTTGCTACCATAATTCATGCCGTTGTCACACTGGGAATATATAGTTGTAATGCACTCTCCCATCACTATTCAGTAACTAAAGCTGGTGGCAACCTGCTTATTAAACACTGGAGCTACATGAACTGCACTAGCTGCCTGTGAATTTCCAGGAAGAATTTAAGGTCTATTGTAACCTTTCAAAGACCTGAATGGGCTTAGGAGCAGGTTACCTGGGAGACCACCTGTGCCATGCTTAAAAAGAACAGGAGTACTTGTGGCACCTTAGAGACTAACAAATTTATTAGAGCATAAGCTTTTGTGGACTACAGCCCACTTCTTTGGATGCATATAGAGTGGAACATATATTGAGGGGATATATATACACACATACAGAGAGCATGAACAGGTGGGAGTTGTCTTACCAACTCTGAGAGGCCAAATACTTACAAGGGGAGATAGATTCAATGTTTGTAATGGCTCAGCCATTCCCAGTCCTTATTTCAATCCTGAGTTGATTGTATCTAGTTTGCATATCAATTCCAGCTCAGCAGTCTCTCCTTGGAGTCTGTTTTTGAAGTTTTTCTGTTGTAAGATAGCCACCCACAGGTCTGTCATTGAATGGCCAGACCAAGGAGAGACTGCTGAGCTGGAATTGATATGCAAACTAGATACAATCAACTCAGGATTGAAATAAGGACTGGGAATGGCTGAGCCATTACAAACATTGAATCTATCTCCCCTTGTAAGTATTCTCACTCACACTTCTTATCAAACTGTCTGTACTGGGCTAGCTTGATTATCACTTCAAAAGATTTTTTCTCTTACTTAATTGGCCTCTCAGAGTTGGTAAGACAACTCCCACCTGTTCATGCTCTCTGTATGTGTGTATATATATCCCCTCAATATATGTTCCACTCTATATGCATCCAAAGAAGTGGGCTGTAGTCCACAAAAGCTTATGCTCTAATAAATTTGTTAGTCTCTAAGGTGCCACAAGTACTCCTGTTCTTTTTGCGGATACAGACTAACACGGCTGCTACTCTGAAATCTGTCCCTGAGGTTTCTCATTCCCTGGTTGCTGGGGAGGCCCCAGC